AGCTCTTTGAGGGTCACTGGAAGGGTCTCTGCTGGGGGCCTGCAAGACGACTGCCCAAAATCAGAAGTCCATCGGTGGGAGATCAGGGCTCCAAGCTGGCCATAGCCGCTCAGTGAGACGGCTGATCACTCGTCTGTCAAAGTTGCCATCCAACCACTGGCGCCCAGCCGCCGTTGTCACTGCAGCGCCGTCCTGCTGAAAGCAGCGGCCTTGTTTTCGAACCCCGCCAGGCACATGAGGCCATAATTCTGCCTTGAGCAGCCTCAGATAAGCTGGCCCGGTCACTGATGAGCCAGAAGCAAACCAGTGGACGAAGACAGGCCCGTCGACCACGGCAGCCCAAAACATGACCTTTTGTGCGTTTTGTTCCTTGCAGTCAACCGTGACATTCTGGAATCTGTCCACAAGCCTGTGATCATTTTAGAGTGGACATTGTGCTTCTTTTGAAAGTGTCCCCGAAACTTACTGTCGACGCCGTCAGCCCTTCAGTGAGCCATTTCCCACGACCACCCAAAACGCCTACGTGGAAAAAGAGCTGACCTGTGTTGTAGGGGGAGATATTTCATGTCCGCACAGAAGGGAAGTTTGGTGATGTGTGACAGTTTTTACATCAATAGAAAGTCCAAGAAATTTTCAATAATGTAAACACAAAATTTATGGTCTTATTCTTTACGAACACCTTCAACTTCGCGTTTTAAAAATAACATTCATTATGAACGACCCTGTACATCGTCTGATCAGCCCTTTTCACGAAGCAACATTGGGCAGCCTTGAAATCCGCTGGATTACGATATGAGTCATTTGACCATATCCTTAATCCTTTAAGTAAAATGTGATGGCAAAATACAATACAAAAAACGACAAATTTCGAGCACTGCTCTTTTCCAATCGGTTCGCAGGTTAGTATACTAACCTTCGATATTAACCCGCGCCCCACTGGGGGGGGGGCTATTCATAGCCCCTCCCGTTTTTCTGCAATAACTTCTAAACCGCTTGATGTATCGCCGCCAAACTATCAGTACCTTCGGCTGCATCAATTTGACACCTTGTGGCAAAATTTGAATTTCGTATCTATCATAGGTCGGCCGGAAATGACGTCCGAGTGACGTCATGTTCGGCCGATTTCGACGCAAAACATTGAACCACGGGAATCGCTTCTAAGAGCTCAGTTTTTAGTTTTTGAGCTATAGTTCGTTTTTTTTTCAAAAGGACTCTGGCTCCAAGTATGTTTTTCGAAAAAGCACGCGTTTTAGCGAGCAAAACGAGCAAAAACTGAACTTGAGAAACTCGAACGTCGCCTTATTTTAACATGTAAATTATTCCCGATAATTTCCATATGTGCGTTTTGGAACCAGATTTGAGAACAGTGGTGACGTCATGCTGTCGAACTTGTTTTGCAATGTAGCGTATAACTATCATGGACGAAACCGCTTACTCGATTATAACCTCGGCAACCGTGAAAAACGAAGTTTCCCCCCAAATTAGTCGAAACTTTGTCCCATCGTACGGACATTGAGTGCCTGCTGCCACCAGTGACGTCATCATAGTATGCTAATTTTTCAAGACACAATTTCCAGGTACTTACCGTGCACAATTTGAAATCGAATATTTTTTCGGTAAGAAATTCTTGGCCAGACGCTGAAGCTGCCAAAACTCACGTGAGAGCTTCGATAAGGAACTTGGAGCCAGCGTCCTTTTGAAAAAAAAAAAAAACGAACTATAGATCCAATTTATTTGCCTTAGAGCCCGGAGGACTCAGAATAGATTGCGCTATCAAACTGCTATCACGGATTTTCAAAATCGGGAAAATTTTGAAAATTGGATATGTTAAAATTCAAAATTTGTAGTTTTATCTTTTTTTAAGTTTTTGACTTTTCGAAAAAAACGGAATATATGTGATAGAACACATGCTTATGACACTCTAGCAAGTTTTAGCTAGATATCTTCAAAAATGGCCAAGCTATACGTATTATAGCAACAATTTCTTAATTTAAAATTTTTCAAATCATTTTTTTTCAGTACGTATTTGACATCGTACACCAATATAAATAGCACCATCGTGTTTCTGAGCTCAAACCGCATCCGATAGACATGTTTTTAGTTGAATAATTTCAATTTTGAAATTTGACCTTCTTTGACCTGAAAGTGAACTGACCTCAGTTATATTCAGATGAAAATGGCCTCAAATGACACAGGTGACACCTAGTTCGAAATGTATGGCTTAAATAGACCATAAAACATGTGTCACATGACCGACTTATGATATAAGATTGCCGTGACCTGTGATGACCTGACCCTGACCTGAAAATCAAAGTACAAGTTTGGTACCCTCAGGGTATCTAAAGCATCTGTTCACGAGTGTGTAAACAAAAAATCAGCCTGAGCTGACTTGTAAGACGGCAGCCAGAGCCCAAAATGTGAACAAGCCAAACATCCCTGACCTGTGACGTCATCGGTGACCTTGAGGTCAATGAAATAAGGTTTTACCCAAAAGTTTTTCCGGGGCTATCAGATCCCGTTTGAATTTTGACGATCACCCCGGTAATTTTGGAGTTAGGAAGGGGTCTATGAATAGCCCCCCCCCCCCCCCAGTAGGGCGCGTTATACACAGACCCCAGGTGGGGCGCGGGTTGACTGCGATACTAATGATGATACTAACTTGCGAACCGATTGAGAAAGAGCAGTGGTACTCCTTTTAACCCCGCCTTACCCGGGGTTGTTTGAACACCCAACTGCGGGTTTTCGCGAATATCTAAAAAAGAAAAAACGGCAGCGCGGGGCGCCGGCTTTTTCAACATACGTTGTTACAAATATTTTGATAGGCTATGGAAATTTCAGACCAAGGTCACTCACGGTCAGGTCACCAGGTCACATCAAATGACCTCACACCATAAAAAGTTTCAATACCTGTCATAGCTACACCGAGTGACCGATTGCTTGTGATTGTTGTGAGCGAGTCTCACACTTGTACATCTAGGATTTTTCCTAAAGTTCAATTGAGGTCAGGTCATTTCCGTGACTCACAATTACAAATCAGTGGGAAAAAATGAAAACTGCTATCCTGTTGTCGGGAACGATCTCCAACTAGAGTTCTGCACGGCTGCAATTTTCCACAGCCTAGCCGTCCCGCAGCCGTGGCTCCACAGCCACAGCCGCCCACAGCCGTGGCAAACTGTGGGCAGCCAGCCGTCAGCCGGCCGTTGATACTTTCAATAAAATGCAACCAAATAGTATATAATATTAAGTTGTTTTTAGTTGAAACATATAGCAAAAAGCACATTGCAATGGGCTATAGATTCTCAAGCTCATGAAGCATCATAGGTTAAGTGGTTGTGTATCTGGCTTTAGGCCGAAGGCCTGAAGCCTGATGCGCAACGCATGCCTACACAAGCCCTTGCAAGGGGTTAAGAAAGATGGGTAGGTAGATACCTACATCAACAGAAAACATAAACAACGAACCAGAATAGAAGCACTAGCAGTGTAGAAATCAAATGCCAAATCCTGAAGCATGGTTGTGGGACAGAACAGACCCTGGTGCTTTTCATTATCAATGTTAGGTATGGAAAATGAAACTGAAGTTGATGGACTGTCAAACAGTGATTGTCTAGTCAAAACTCTTGCTTCTTTCTTACCTTGCATATTTTCTGGGGTGTGATATGCCAGGCTTAGCGCAGCCTTCTGAGCAAGTCTAAAACTAATTTGATATGCAAGGCATCAAAACACTAGTGAGCATCCAAGAAAGAAAAACATTCATCTATTTTGATTTTTCCAAATAATGATCTTCGCTCAAATCCCCAAGGACGTGCGAGCCACAATTGCCTTTCAATCAAAAATTTTACTTGAGTTTTTAATGACGTCAATAGCAAAGAAGTGGCAATAAATTGTTTTTTGTCACAATAAACAGCCATAAAAATTACAATTATTAAATACTAATGCTATATAGTTAAAAATTGCTCTCAAACAACGGTTAGGTATCAAATTTTAACATTTTCAGAAGAAGACGTCATTTTATTAGTAAAGTCAACAGCTCGCGTAAGAAATATTGTGTTCAGGGTTTTCACCGTCATGTGAATTACGTGTTCAAGGTTTTCACCATCATGTGAATTAGCCGTAAGTAAGGTTCATGCTCACTTATAATCTAATTCCATTGGCTCCGTTGATCAGCATTTTCTGTTAGCGGTCACTAACACACCAGTTAGAACATAAAGCGCCAGTTTTATATTATGTAATTGGACTTGCCGAAAATCCAGAAATGCTTATAAGAGTTATTTTAGATAATATTTTATGAAGCCTTTACCTGCCTTTACCGAGGCGTGATTTCTTTTTCTATTACCTGAAAGAATTATTGAACGCTCGTCTTCAATAGCTGTAAGGTGCTTTCCTAATGACCAGGTGAGATTGATTTGAGAGGGATGTGACAATGCAGCATGTTGCATTTTCTGAAACTGTCAAGCTCTTGATGATGAAGGAACAATTGGTACCTATAATTAGTATTCTGTACCAGAGTGCAAACTCCCCCACAGCAAATGGTAAAACCATTACAGGTTTTCAAAGGCTTCACCACTTTCAATGTTGCTGGGCATCCTTTGCATGATTTTTACAGGCTAGACTGCTTATTAGAATGTAAGATTAAGGATTTAAAATTTTATATTTTAGCACTTAAGATTGAGCTGGAAATATCACAGCCGTGGCCACAGCCGTAGCCGTGTTCTTGGAGATATTTGCAGCCGCCCCGGCCCACAGCCGTGGGGCTGCAGCCAGCCGCGGCTGCAGCCGGCCGGTGCAGACCTCTATCTCCAACTATCTCAAGCACATAGAATCAGCACTCCTTGCAAGGTGCGATGCGTTACTTTTGCAATGTTGATTTTGCGTGACGTCACGATCAAATTGAGCTAGCGAGTCGGGAAAGCCACGGATGGACTAGTACAGGGTGCGGCAAAAGTTTTGATACCTTACCATTCATTCCCTCCCTCCCGTAAAATTAAAACAACAGTTTCATTTCAGCGGTCAATGTATTCTCCACGAAGCTGGACACAGAGTGAGACACGTGCGGGCATGCTGGCCACCAGGTTCTTCAGAGTCTGTGGGCTGATGCTCGCCCACGTCCTCTTGAGCGCCTTCTCGAGCTGTCCAAGGTTGCTGGGAGGTTTTTTCTTGTCCAGCTCCTGCTGCATTATCCCCCAGAGCTCTTCAATTGGATTCAGGTCAGGGCTGTTCCCTGGCCACGTGTCCTTAGCCCAGAAGTTGGGGAGGTGCTCCCGGCACCACTTCTGCGCTCTGGCAGACCGATGAGCTGGAGCGCCATCCTGCATGAAAATGCTGTCCGACCTGCGCTCGACCATGCGGCGCGTGAGGACGGAGCCCGTCGTGGCCGTCCTGTTGATGGCAGGGAGGCAGACTTCCTCGAGGATGTGCTCCACGTAGTACTCGGCATTGACCGACGTCTTCTGCGGGATCACGTGCAGCTGGCTCAATCCCTCGTAGGACATCATGCCCCACACCATCAGTTTCGGCGGGAATTTGACGCTGAACGCCTTCGGGACTTCAGCCGGGTTCTCAGCCCACACTCGCTCGTTCTGGCGGTTTGGGTGGTGGAAGAGTTGAAAGGGAGACTCGTCGCTGAAGAGTACCCGTTTCCACTCTTCCACAGTCCAGTTCTTGCGTTCCTTTCAAAACTGAAGCCTCTGTGCTCGCTGTTTTTCCGTTAATTTTGGCCTTACGCGGATCTTGTAGGCCTTCAGTCCAAGGGTGTTCCTCCAGTACCGGCGGACAGTCCTCTCGGACACCGGATATTTCTTCCGAGTGAGCTGTTTGGACAGCTTCCTCGCCGAGTGGCCAGATTTTCCAGCCGCTTTCTTCATCACGATCTTGGCGACGGTCGAGATGCTGGAAGGGCGCCCTGACCGCGGTCTATCTGCGACGCTCCCTGCCTCCTTAAACTTCTTCCACCAGCGTTTGATGGTGAGGACTGGGACCCCAAAGTGTGAGGCAACGTCCCTCTGCGTCTTGCCGGCTTGGAGCATGCCAATGGCGCGGCTGCGAGCCTCCAAACTGTATTGTTCGACCTTCATGGTTCGGCCGTGGCTACTGCAGCGGCCACCGGGTGGATAATGACTCCAGCCGGCGACCCTCTGGGTCAAGGTCAGCTGTTCAGCTAATCCCCGCCTCGGGGAAGGATGCGGGTACGCAAGGGCGCGCTCAGAAATGTCATATTCGGGGGCATGTTGGAAATGCATTGAGTTATTACAAAAAGACGGAAGGTATCAATACTTTTGCCGCACCCTATATATAAGGAAGACCTGCCGAATCGAATGATATGCGACATGACCTCCTTCGACCAACTTCGTGACCTGGGGCGCTGACCTGTCCGTGACCCGAGGTCAACACCCTAAGTTGACCGCATCTAAACAAAAAGTATATCATTCGACGCGCCTGAGCGATGCGAACACGATGCTGCCAAAATCGTGGCTCTGCGGCCGTTGTTTGCGAAGTTATTCACCAAAAACGGAACCGTACCTTAGGCCACTTGACCTGACCTCAGAGGTCACCGGTTGACCTAGGACCTTAACCCGCGCCCCACTGGGGTATGTGTATAACACGCCCTACTGGGGGGGGGGGGCTATTCATAGCCCCCCCTCCTAACTCCGAAACTACTGGGCCGATCGTCAAAATTCAAACGGCGTCTGATAGCCCCGGAAAAACTGTCGAACGAAAACTAATTTCATTGACCTCGAGGTCACCGATGACGTCACAGGTCAGGTCAAAGTAAAAATTATTAGCATTTTGGCTTGTTCACATTTTGGGCTCTGGCCGCCGTCTTACAAGTCAGATCAGGCTCATTTTTGGTACACACACTCTTAAACAGATGTTCTAGATACCCTGAGGGTACCAAGCTTTTACTTTGATTTTCAGGTCAAGGTCAGGTCATCACAGGTCACGAAAATATTTTATCATGCGTCGGTCACGTGACACATGTTTTATGGTCCATTTAGGCCATAGATTTCGAATTTGATGTCGTCTGCGTCATTCGAGGTCATTTGAGTCGAATTTAGCTTAGGTCAGGTCACTTTCAGGTCAAAAAAGGTCAAATTTTGAAGTTAAAATTTTTCAACAAAAAAGGTGTCTATTGGATGCAGTTTGAGCTCAGGAACACGATGGTGCCATTTATATTGGTGTACGATGTCAAATACGTACTGAAAAATTGATTTGAAAAATCAATAATTGTGAATTTTTTGCAATAAGGCGTATAACTTGGCCATTTTTGAAGACATTTAGCTAAAACTTGCTAGAGTTAGTCATAATCATGCGTTCTGTCACATATATTCCGGTTTTTTTCGAAAAGTCAAAAACTTTTTGAAAAAAAATATAAAAATACAAATTTTGAATATTATTATATCAAATTTTCGAAATTTTCAAAATTTTGAAAATTCGAGATAGCAGTTTGATAGCGCGGTCAATTCTGAGTTCTTTCATGCAAAGAAATTGGATCTAGCTTAAAAACTGAGCTCTTGGGAGCGATTGCCGTGGTTCAATGTTTTGCGTCGAAATCGGACGAACATGACGTCACTCTGACGTCATTTCCGGCCGACCTATGGTAGCTACGAAGTTCAAATTTTTACACAAGGTGTCAAATTGATGCAGCCGAAGGTACTGTAAGTTTGGCGTCGATCCGTCAAGCGGTTCGGAAGTTATTGCAGAAAAACGGGAGGGGGGGCTATAAATAGCCCCCCCCCCCCAGTGGGGCGCGGGTTAACCCTCGCCCTGGCAGGGCATTTTTCATAACACGGCCTGGTAGGGGGGGGGACGATGCGACCCCCCCGCGATTGGCTCCTATGGCAGCTAGAAACACCAAATTTGGTAGGTAGGTGGGCCCCCTGGAGTTCTCGCCCCTGTGCAAATTTGGTTGCTCTAGGTCAATATTTAGGGGGGTTTTGGGGGGTATAAATGTAAAAACTTCGCTAAAAACAGGTCAAACGTTTTTCGCTTATAACTTTTGATCTAATTAAGATAGAACAAAAAGAGTAGCACCAGTGAACTCAGCACGTCAAGGCGCGTCGAATGATATACTTTTTTGCTTGCTTAAGTGTACTTAAAGTTTTTCTTAAACTTTAATTGATTAATGATTTAAGTTTAAGTTACTCAAATTGCATCATATCACATATCATTCGATTCGGCTGATCACCAGGAACACAATGACACCATTTTTAAAGCTCGAGCGTCATTATGTGCGAAGTTATTGGCAAAAAAGTCATTTGACCTCAGTTGACCTCATTTGACCTGACCCATGGATAAGTACATCAAACAAAGAAGCGCCAAGTGACTTGCTGTTAAGTACTGTGGTTTCAAAGCACAAAAGTGATAGAACAAAGCGGATATCTCCAGTATTTTCCGAATTTAGTATTTTCCCATAGGCTTAACATTACGATGTAATGGCCTCTAACTGACCTCAGGTCAGTGACCTAAAAAAAACGAACCATATGTTATACAACTCGGTGAACGTAGCACATCCTGAAAGTTTGAAAGGAATCAGTCCAAAACTGTCAGTTGGACAGGTGCAAAAAGAAAATTGAAATTTGACCATGACCTTGTACCGGTTTTTGCTGACCTGGTGACCTGACCCAAGGTCACCATGACCTGAAATTTTCAGGTCATATGTAAAAAGGTTGCTCCATAGGCTGTGCCAAATTTGGAGGCGCTGCGCGCCGCCGTTTTTACGCTATCTTCGAAAAACCTTAGGGGGGGATCGCATCGACCCCCCTGCCAGGGCGAGGGTTAAAATTGGGTATAAATCTCTGCGTTCCATAACGGCGCACACCTTCGTTTTTCCTCGACGCGCTAGCTCCACCAGGGGCGAAACGGCGAGAGGGGGGCTTGTACTTACCCCCCTCGGCCGGCGCGTATATAGAAAACCGGTATGCCCGGCGAGCGTTAACAAGTAAGCTGAGATTATCATTTCGCTGTGATCAACATTCAGCTGTGATTATCATTAGGTTGTGAATCTTATTTAGCTGTGATTATCATTAAGCTGCATGATTACCATTTAGCTGTGATTATCATTTAGTTGTGATAATAACTTTGTTGTTGATTATCGTTCAACAAGGTGTCTGCTTTGCAAAATTTTGTTATGCATGGGTATTTGCTTCATCATCTCAGCAGATGCTGTGTAGCAGAGTTTTTTTCTTTTTTGAATTTTGCTCCCGACAGGCCGAGGCGCACAGCTCGAATATTATGCATATGCATACCAAGTCCCAATGAGCTGCGCTAGTTGCAAAATGATTGGGTCGCAAAATGATTGATTGGCAGGGGACAGTGGTTTGCATTGATCGGCGTTATGGTATCACGAGCGGAACCGTCGGCTGACCTTGTCGTAACGGTGGCAGCTCGTTAGTTGGCGGAGGTGCGGCCGTACTCAGCACGGCTGCCGGCGCCGCGTCCGCCACCGCCGCGCCGGACAGCACGGATTTTTCACCGTCATGTCTGATGGATCTAGATGAACGCCATATTTATTATTTTATATCCGGAGGGGTATTCAGCTCTCCTGACGTTCTGCTGCTAGGCATTTTTTTCACGTTATTTGTCTAAAGTAGGGGAAAGTGGGGTAAGACGGGCACCTTAACTTTGGAGCCATTTTTCGGCCGGTTAGAAACATCATAGAAACGGGAAACTGGGTGAAAACCTTTTTCAGACATTTTACTTTCATTTGCCAGAAGATGAGACTTAGACCTGATTCAACAAATAAACTGCAGCTATTTTTGCAAAACCTTGCAAAAACCCGTCTTACCCCACCCCATGGGGTAAGACGGTCACATGGGTAGGGCAAGACGGCCAGCTTCTTTCACCGATCAGCGCAGCTCGCAACAAATGCCCGAGATTAGCCGCATTTATACAGTCGCTCGTTGGTCTCAAGTGCTTCGGAAATGGCAGTATACGAGATTCGTGCAGAAGGCGTATGCTCCTATATAGGCCCTAGTTCAGAAGCCATGTAGAACCGTTTTTCACATTCATTATTCGAGAATAAACTGTGCCGAAGGAATATTGCTAACATGTCTGTGAGTATCGGAATCGAACATATTCTTATTAGAAATGCTTCTTTTTTCCTACAGCAACAAAAATATTTTCACCATTACAGACCCATTGGGTTCATAGTTGCCCGTCTTACCCCAAACTCAATGTCAGAAGTTCAGCACGATTTTTCGCTGTGGACAATTTGATGCAGACAAAGCAAATCCGCCGTAAATGAACACTGTTGGCATATGAGTGTACCACAAGTGATTGCGAGTTTTTAACTCTATAGTGCTGTACACAAAAGCTTGCACAATACATTATGGATGTTTTCAATGAAATGAGTGTTTTAAAGAAATCAAAATAAAAGATTATCGACTGAACACAAATTCACCAGACTTGAATGGTGGTGTGTAGTGGGAAAGGCAATTCTGGTCCTAACTTTTCTTGCTCGTAGCGCTATTGGTTTGGTCTGCAGAAGGGGTGCCCGTCTTACCTACCCTGACCGTCTTACCCCACTTTCCCCTATGTCACAGATAGTTTCGAAAAGTTGTAAAAACGTTTATCTTGTGTTTTATCAATGTAGCTATCTTTATCCACGATGGTTACAAATCACCGCAGACGCACTGCATACTGCATAGTGTTTAAACCTCAAGGCGGCCAGCGGCTACGATGGCGCCATCTATGTGGAGAATTGTTAACCCGTGTATGACTGGGATATTTTCCATTACGTGAGTGACTTGGGGGAGGCTCTATGTACAGAGCCCCCCTACAATCTCCGACATTACTGGGTCGATCGTCAAAATTCAAACGGCTTCTGATAGCCCTGAAAAACTCATCCGAAACCTATTTTTATTGACCTCGAAGTCACCGATGACGTCACAGGTCAGGACAGAATAAAAATTATCAGCATTTTGGCTTGTTCAAAATTTAGGCTCTGGCCGCCGGCTAACAAGTCCGACCAGGCTCGTTTTTTGTTACACACTCCTTGGTAAATGCCTTGATTTGATACCCTGAGGGTACCGAACTTGTAGAGGAGACCCGAGAGGTATGGGCCCCCGCGAGGTAT